CCGCAAACCATACTATTTACATGGTTTCGTGCCCCTCCCACCCCTCCAGGGAGGCCCAGCCTGAGCGAGGAGGGTATCCGAAAACCATACTATTCACATGGTTTCGTGCCCCTCCCACCCCTCCAGGGAGGCCCAGCCTGAGCGAGGAGGGTATCGGAAAACCATACTATTTACATGGTTTCGTGCCCGTCCCACCCCTCCAGCGTCGCGAGGAGGGCATCAAGAAAATGGGTCCCACGAAACCGTTAATCTCTTTATGTGGGGAACTCCGTTAGCATAATTTACTTCTCAGCCGCGGTCCGGGTCGTCTTCTGCCCCATCTCGACCTGCTCTGGGCCTGGTCCAGCCAGCGCCGTCTCGCACTCCATCTCCGGGCTGCCCGCGCCCTGTGACGCGTCAGCCGAGACGTCTGGGCGTGGGGGCTCGGGCAACGTGGGCGCTTGCATCTCGGCCACCTCGGGTACTCCTCGGTCGCCGTCGTCGCTCTGCTCGCCCTCGTGGTGTTCGCCCTACCCATCGGCCTCGTTCGCCTCCGCCTGGCAGTCAGTGTCGACGCTCTTCATATCCATCTCCACGGAAGTGCTCGTCCTCGTAATCATCCAACTGACCGATACTTCACCCGTGTGGTCCGCGAATTTCGTGGACCCGCTGATGTTCTTCAGCTTCTCTAGCATTCGCTCGGCCGTTGACAGTGGCAGTCCGTGATCGTCGTCATCTTCTTCTCGTTGCCGTCGCTCCTCTGGCAGCTCGGTTCGCAACAGCTCGCGCGTCGTCCGCGCGGGCGCGCCGCCATGCGCGCGCCGCGGCGCTGACTGTCTAAGTTGATCGGGTCGTCCGTGTGCTCGACCTGCGCGATCATCGCCGGTCCCTTTCAGTTGCTCTTGTTTAGGTCGCGCTCGCCGCTATCGCGCCTCCAGATGCGCGCCCGCTCGCCGATCTGGAACTCTCTTGAGAGGGGCTGGTTCTCGGCCGCCAGCGCCGCCCGAACTGCCCTCGCCACGTTTGCCGCCAGAAAAACTTTGCCCGCGCCCCGCCCGCGCGCCAGGTCGCGGTAGAACTCCCCGTCGCGGTCGCCGAGGTCGCCCGCAGTTGTCGGCTCGTCCGCCAGGCTGCCCAGCATCATTCGGTTGTCTTCCTGGCGCCCGCCGCGATGGCGCAAAACCTTTCACGTCGCGCAGCTGGTCGCGCGCGTCGCAGGTCATGCGCGCCGCAAGCTTCAAGCTGTCCTCAGTATGATAATCGCGACATCGCGCTATCTGCCCCTGTCGCACCTGATGGTTCCGCTCGAGTATGCCAGGCCGATGATGAACATCCATTGGCATCAGCTGCAGCTTGATCTGCCGACCGTCGTGCCGCTCCATAAACTCGTCACTCGCGTGCGCGCCACTCTGGTCAGCTCGAATCGTGGCCGGCGCTCCGGCCCAGTTGATCCAGTGTTTCTCGAGCGCTTTGATCTCGCGCCCCTTCTCGTCCTTCACCGCCGTGTCGACCTCGAACCTGGAGCTCTCGTCCATGATGGTGAGTCTCATTTTGTGATTGTCCTTCCACGCCACGTGGGACGCGCCGTTCCATGGTGTCGTTTAATCTTCGACCCCGCGGGGCGCAGGCGACTCGCGCTGACTTCGGTCTCTGCCGCTTGAGGCATGTCTCGCATATGTATATCCTCGCACAGCGGATCAGTCGGTCGTCCGCATTCATTTCCTTCAATGTTGCTGCCAACGCCTCGCTCGATAGGATGGCCGATCTGGATACGCAGGTTCTCTACCCACTTGACCTCCTCGATGGTGAACTTACCCAGCAGCGCCTTCCACGCCATCTTGTACCCGGTTTTGTCGAGGTCCTCCTGGGCCATCTCTTCCACCACGTAAGTGGCCTCTTTCTGCGGATCGCCCACGATGCAGATCGCCGCCTGGAATGCCATCTTCCTCGGGTAGTTTTCCACGCCACGCGCGTTGCGTCCACCCTCGAGGCTCACGCGCTTCTCTTTGCAGCTGCATGTCTTCCAGAGTACCTCGTGCATCTGAAGCTTCGTGGTCCTTGCGTTAGTCGGCTTCTTGATCGGTCCGAGCTTTCGACCTGCCGAGTCCAACGCCATGAGTCCGTGGGCGCACCGGTCCGCGAACGTGTCGTAACCCGTCATGCTGTACCGCGCTTCAGTCTCCCGCGACGTCGCGTATCGAGGGTGCTTTAGATGCGCGTGCTTCTCCGCCTGCTGCTGTTGCGCTTCGTAGATCTCCCGACCGAACCTCAGGAATTCGCGCTGCTGCTTGGCACGCTTTATTCAGGCCTCTTCTGCGCCAGTTCCCGCGTGAAGGCCTTGATGCGAGCCGTTCGCGAAACCCCAGCCTGTCTCCAACGTAAACTTCTCCGTCTTGACGTCGCCGCGTTTCTCCACGCAGTGCGCGATTCGTCCGCCTGCCGCGAAGGTCTCCCAGATCCGCCTCCTTGCCTTCGGCTTGCTGTCCAACGTGCAGTTAGTCTCTGCGAACCAATCCTCCAGCTTTTTCGCATCGGGTTTCGTGGTCTCGCATTAGCGATCTCGGCGTCGCCGTAGCTGCCGGTCACGCAGAAGTTCGTTCCCTTCTCGCTTTCCACTTTGCGGTCGCCGTCGGTGTCAGCGTCCGTTGAGTTCGAGTCTTCATCTGCCGCTAGCACATGGGACGGGACGCTATGATGATCGATGATCAGATGGCCGTTCTCATTTGTCTCCATGTCGATCCACTTCAGTGGCTGATCGTCTAGATACATTACTTTCTTGTTGCGGTCGTCGGTCACCATGCCCCACTCCTCGAGACAGGGCCTTGCCACCAGCAGAGACAACCACCCCCTGCGCACCCCCTGTGGTGTCGAGAAAGTGCCACGCCTGCTATGCCTGGACGACTGGGGCGTATAGAGACCGCGGTGAGAGACCACCCCCTGCGCACCCCCTGTGGTGTCGAGAACGTGCCACGCCTGCTATGCCTGGACGACTGGGGCGCATAGAGACCGCGGTGAGAGACCACCCCTTGCGCACCCCCTGTGGTGTCGGAAAGTGCCACGCCTGCTATGCCTGGACGACTGGGGCGTATAGAGACCGCGGTGAGAGACCACCCCCTGCGCACCCCCTGTGGTGTCGAGAAAGTGCCACGCCTGCTATGCCTGGACGACTGGGGCGTATAGAGACCGCGGTGAGAGACCACCCCCTGCGCACCCCCTGTGGTGTCGAGAAAGTGCCACGCCTGCTATGCCTGGACGACTGGGGCGTATAGAGACCGCGGTGAGAGACCACCCCCTGCGCACCCCCTGTGGTGTCGAGAAAGTGCCACGCCTGCTATGCCTGGACGTCCCGCAGCGCGTCCATTGGCACGTTCCGTAGCGCGTCTCCGTGGCACGTCAATGGCACGTTCCTTGGGACGTCGCCTGGCGCGTCCCTTGGGGCGGTCCGCTGCGCGTCCTTCTGGCGTGTTCCCCTGACAATTAGCAATGGGGCAGCTTCTATGTGCTCAGGCAGCTCGAGCTTAAGATCCAGATCAGTTCGGTCAGGACTCGGACGCAAAGTAGAGCACAATCGCGGCATGGCACATCGCAATTCAGCACGGCGCAGCACAGCACGGATTTCAGCACGGCACATCAAGATCGATACACTCAGCATTGCAATTTGTCACGTTCTTTGGCACGTTCCGTGGCGCGCCCCGTGGCGAGTCCCCCTGGCACGTCGCGCGGCGCGTCCCTTGGCACGTCCCGTGGCACGTCCATTGGCACGTTCTGTAGAGCGTCCCCTTGGCACTTCTGCGGTGCGTCCCCATGGCACGTTCCCTGGCACGTCGTTTGGCGCGTCCCTTGGGACGTTCCGCGGCATGTCCTCCCAGCATGTCTCCTTGCCAATGAGCTCTGGGGCAGCTACTATATGCTGAGGCAGCTCGAGCTTACGACCCGGATCAGATCGGTCAGGACTCGGATGCAAAGGAGGACTCGATCCACAACGCTATAGAGCACAATCGCGGCATGGCACATCGCAGTTCAGCACGGCGCAGCACAGCACAGCCCTCGGCACGGTACATCAATATCGATACATTCATCATTGCATTTGCCCGTCGCCCAATCAGGTGTCTTTGAAACGTTGCCATGTCTTACATTTCTATATTATTTTCCGGTGTCGTGGGTCGATCATGTTGTCGAGGGTGTATGGTACGATTCGTGTCATGTCATGAAGTTCGGTCTTGAAATTGATAACACTACAACGTGTTTGGCATGATTTCGACCTGCGCGCGCGGCGGCCGCGCGCCAGTGCCCCGCATGCTGTTTTTTGCAGGGGATTGTGGCCCTGGCAGGCGCGCGACTGTTGTTGAATGAGATCGACGTGCGTGCAAAAGTGGCCCAAGAAGCCCGATTTGACGGGAATGTTGAACAGCCATTGGTTTTTCAAGGATTTGGCATGAACGCGCGGGAGCAGATTGTTCTGGGTTTGTGGGTGAAAACGTTGTATGTTTTCATAGTTTTTTTTGAAGCGGGATGTTGAATTTGTTGAAAACACATTGTATTTGGAAGGATTGCATGGTATTTTTTCCCGGAATTTATGACTTATGTTAGAACAAAACGTGTCACCGTGTAGTATTTTTGTTGCAAGGGAACCGAGGGGGGACCGAGACTGGTCTGGCTGGGATAGTATGAGTTCACAGGTAGGAAGGATGGACACTGGGTCAGAATCGTACGTGCTTTGCATCGGTTCCCGGGGAATCGATAAGTCGGGAAGGATAATTTAGGTGGTGCAATCGACGTCTTGCAATCTAGGCGGCGATGGGATGGGTGGCGACGAGGCGGCGACGGGGCGTTGACGGCGGCCACATAGCTGCCAGACCGATGACACGACCCAGACGACGGTGGCGACGAGGCGGTGACGGGGCGGCGACGGCGGCCAAACGAATCATAGTCCACATGCCAGTCGGCAGTTCTTCCGCGACGCCTAAGTCAGCCCCACGCCTCGGGCTCCGAGAGTTTTGCATCCGATCAGCCAGCCGGAGGTGCTCGGCTTCAAGGTCTCCGAGCTGATCGGGGAGACGACCGCAGACGTGAAGATCTTGGAGGAGTCCAACGTCGTCATCACGACTCCGGACGGGGTTCGGGGTAGACCCCTCGGGACCCAGGGAGGAGGGCGGAGGGTCGCCACCTCATCCGCTCGGTCCCATTTGCTTGGGGCGCGCACGTGCACATGCGCGTGTGCCTGAGCGCGCGAGGTTGAAGCCGAGCGCGATCTGCCTACGCGCTTGCGCGTTTGCGTGTGTGTGTGTGTGTGTGTGTGTGCGTGTGCGCGTGTGTGTGTGTCCTTGTGAGTGTGTGTGTGTGTGTGTCTCGGTGTATCTGTGGTAGCGTGCGTGTGTGCATGCAGTCGGCGTGTGTGCGAATCCAGGCACCAGTCTCTGACGTCAGACCCTCACGCGGAAGATATAGCCTTCGACAAATGGTCTGACGTAAATTACGTCCGATTCTCGTTGTGAAGTTTGAGTGTCAGCAGTTTTCCAACGAGATGTCCCAGGTATGTATTGCTTCTGCAATCAGCATTGTATCCGTCTGACTTGCCCGCGGTCCAGGTGGCTCTGGGTTGCCATAGGCTCTTATTGGGAGGTTGGCGCCCAGACCAGATCGGGGACCTCCCAACAGCGAGGGTGCTCCCGCCGTCGTATTGCCTCCCGCTTAGAGTACTGCATTGACTCCCGTAGGGAGCCTTGTACTATATATATATATATATATATATATGTATCGCACTGCCTCAGTCGCCGCCACGGCCCAGATCCTTTCCAGGCGACCCAGGAACCCGCACTCTCCAGCTCGGCCCTCCTTTTTCACGCATGTGTCAGTGAGGGAGATGAGCCATGGGGGCAGTGGCGGCTGGAGATTGCTGCGCTTTGTCTCCTACGATCCACTCACATTGGCAGCAGTAGCAAGGCTACAGGGCATAGCTGGAGAATACAAGAGCGCAGATGCCATCATGTTGCAGGGCGCTCAGTTTCGTGCGAACAGGCAAGCCCCAGTTCAGTTTCGACACACAACAACATGTTTTTTTTGCATGCGGGACATGGAGAAGGATCGAATCGGGCGTGTGGAGTCGCAATAGGTCTTCACAGACAGCGGTTTCCCCAAGAGTGCGTGGTACAAATCAACGCAGGACAAGGAGTGTTGCAAGGACGGGCTTTGATGCTACGCTTTCGCAGAGGAAGGCAAGACACGGCAATGGTTAGCCTGTATGTCCCGCCGCGCGGCACAGGTGAGGGAGCAGCTCGGCGCCAGAGAGAAGTTTGTCAAGCTGCAGGTACATGGGTTCAACTGCACATGGATGCGCTACCAGCGAGGTGCATTCCAGCATTGGGCATGGATCTCAACAGTACCTGCGGCAAACAGCAAAGACTATGTCCTGATTGTGGTGAAGAGGATTCAGAAGTGGACGGCCCAAATGTTGTGAGTTTTCGGCCAGTACTTAGAGTTCATGCTTTGGTATTCGCCAACACGTTTAGTCAAGCAGGACCGACATATTGGGGCGTCAAAGGTGGCGTTAGCAAAATATTGGATTATGTGGAGTTACCACGCAGCGCTTTGGGCAATGTGGCAGATTGCCATGTCTCTATGATGAAGGGACGTAGGCTCCAACACATAAGATCCCAGAAGATCAAGGACCGCTTGCCAGTTTGCGTCTCGCTGTGGCACACCTTTCAATGGACTAGACCGTTTCAGATTCCCCGAGCCAACATGGAAGCTTGCAATGCGGCGCTGTTGTACGGTCGCAGTAGAACGCAGTTGTTACAGAATATTGAGCAAGGCCTCCAAGAACACACGCTCGAATTTCAGAGCTGGGAATATGACGGGGACGCGGGCTCAATCAACGCAGGCATGCCGCAGGTAGTGGGAGATTGCACGGCAAAGATACTGAACTCGACGCCAGGATACGAGGAGCACAGTGGGCCGAGGATCACCACGAGCACGAAGCGATCACAGTTGCTCCGTCAACGCAGAGAGGCAACGCAGAAAGAGTTTGAGGTGCCAGATGACATCGATCTTGAGGTCTGCCGTTCGAGTCGCAGCTTAAAAAAAAGATGAAGAGACATATGATCCATGGGCGCAACGAGTTGAGGATAGAGGCATTGGCAGAGGCCTGGAGACAGGGAAGGTTTCATGAGGAACTCGCATTGTCACGACTCATCGCAGGCACGTGCAGAGGACCAGGGGGAGAGTATATAATCAAGTGGCGACCGCGAGAGCGACGGCAGCAGAGCGAATAGAAAAGATGCATATACGGGGAACGCTTGGAGGAGCGGCAGCTACCACACAGAGGTTTGCGAAGAATCCCATGCAAGTGGCGGGCTTCTGGAGGCGACCTTTTGACAGCGAACATCAGCACGTTGAAGCAACCTTCAAGCACGCTGTAGTGGAGTATCCAGAGGCAGAGCCAGCCACATGGGGAGATCAGCAGGAGCTGCACGAGGGCACGTTGAACGACCTTAAGCAGCTCCGCTATGCGGTCACAACACTACCTTCCTGGAGAGCATGGCCGAATTGGAGCGCACCAGGGGGCGTTCCCAGAACTTTGTTTGATCCCAAATGGGTTTATAAGCATGATTGGCATGGAGGACTCGGCGCGAATGTTGAAGAGGAATGGGAGGCCCCAAACTTCGAGAAAGTTGTGCACCTGCTGATGCGCACGATCAGACGAGAAGCTCGTGCACCGGCGGTCTGGCATCAAGCAAATCTGTTTCGTTTGCACAAGAACAATGGAAGGAAGGGAACGCATGGAGAGAGACCAGTTATGCTACTCTGTGGATTGGGAAGATCGCTTTTCAAGTCCAGTCTGAAGAGATGTCCGACGTTTAAGCATTGGATGCATGGGGGCATTGCACATCGGAGAAGGGAGGACGCGATGATCATTCAGTTCTGTGGCTCGCACAGTTTAAGACGAGCAGGCATGCCGCACATAGGGGGATATCACGATGCGACGAACGCTTTTATAACTGTGTCAAGAAGCATCACTTGGTGGCAGCTGCTATGGACCTAGCCAAGGATGACAATACACACTTCTTAGAGCAGAGAATTATGAACAGCGCGGTTGGTGCAAGATGGCACAATGGGCGCGCGCGCGCAAAATCATGAAGGAGCATTACCATGTGATCACGCATCGACAAAGATACTTGTGCAGGCCTATTCTCATGGAGTTCAGCTGGCTATCAACAGCATGGAGAGGGGCAAGTGGCAAAACATTTGGAAAGTGGCGTCCATGCCGATTGGGCTGGAGCACGAGAACAACATCGACTTGGCCACAACTGGCTTTGTGGGCGATGTTGGCAGAAAACATAGTTGGAGCATCGGTTACACACTTATCGAGCTTGGGCAGATGGGAGAATCTTATGCTTGATGCGGGCTTGGAGGAGGTAGGAGGAGCCCAGAACAGAGACAAGTAAGTTAACCTAGTTCAGGGAGCAACGCACAAAGCAAATATTACCAACCGAGCCCTTCATGAGCAGCTTCATTTACTAGAAGGGGCGGTCGAGAATTCAGCCAAATACTTAGGGCGAATGCATCATTACGAAAATGGGCTTCACCAAGGAAAGGTAGCTAGACTACAAGCCATGCCAAGGCTTGGAAACATTGAGGGGGCTTCTGGACTTCGAGGGCACCGTTTCGATTCAGTGCTATTGTTTTTAATGGGCAGGTGGTACATGCAGCACTAAGTGGACTAGAAACATACGTTCTGAACGCGAGGGCCCCGCTCACCATCAAATGCCTCAAAACCACTGCAACGCAAGATCATTCGTTATGCACGAGCGCTAGTAAAAAGGCAAGGGCACGAGCAATATAGAGGGCAAATACATATGCATCAGCAACCTTGAGGTTCTTCGAAAGCTAGGCATCGGCACGCTTTTCTGCGAATTGCGCACCAGGGGATTGAAGCGGCTGCAGTCCTTGGTCAAGAGACCGAGAGAACATGTACAGGTGATTGCAGCGTTGATTGGGCGCGCGCAGTGCGAGCGTGAAAATGTTGACATCCACGAGGGGGGGGTGACGGCGGAGGCGAACCCGTGGCCGCAGCAGCTGTGGAATGACGCGAAGGCTTTGGAGTGCGGCGATGAGGGAGCGAGTTTTTCAGAATCCCTGGATGGGATCCTTCTGCAGAATATTCGAGGAACCTTGGCGCGAAGATTGCCTCGCGCTTGATCTCCATGTGTTGAGGGCGAGAGAGATAGCTATAGCTATTGCGCACCCCCCCCCCCCCAATCCGCTTGGTCTCGGTGGAGGGCCGCCCAGGGATGAGTTTTTTTTTGGGGGGGTGGGGGGCTGAGGCGTGCGAGGGCATCTTTAAGTGCGTTGCCTGCGATGTGAGTTTTAAGACGCGCCAGGCCATGATCATGCGCTATGTTAGGTCCCAGGCCGAAGCTCATGTGGCTCGTGGTGTTCCGTATGCGGTTACTTTATCCAATTATTGTTTAATGTGTAGCAGAACGTTGGCTGACCGCGAGGCGGCCCAGCACCGCGCGCTCAATGCACTCATCAATAATAGGTGCTATGTAGATGGTAGCCTCAGGTCTCACATGCGCGTTGCACGCAAACAAGTCTCGTGTCCTCTAGGCAGCCATACTGCTGACAGTCATGATTTCTTGATTCGCACTTACTTGCTGGACATCTTCGACCGATCCTCAGCGACGAACACTCATTCTCATTAGATGCCGCAGTGGTTGCCAGCAGCTGGATCTGGACCACGCGACGGCCCAGGGGCGGCGGCGGGGCCAGAGCAGGAACAGCAACCGCCGCAGCCACAGCAGAGGCGCAAAGTGACGGATCAGAAGGACGCGCCTCGCAATCTCGCCATGCAGCTGGAGGCGCGGATGAGGGGGCAAGAGGCGGGGGGCTCGCACTTCAAGTGCCCGTCGGGCCACCCCGCCATCATGGCGGCGAGTGCTGCGGGGCAGAAGTACGACAGCTCGGTCAAGGCAGGGGGGGCGCAGCACACCTTCGGATCGCCACACCTACATGCCTTCGTGGCCATGCTGGACTCACTCAGCAAGACGGACGCAGGAAAAGACAAAGAGGTGCAGATGAGATTCAAGGCAGCGGTCAGGCTCAGAGAGTTCGTGGAAGGCGGCAAGCCCGACGGCCTGGGTACGCAGCTGCGGGGCCAGCGAGCACTTCAAGAAGGCAAACCCGCAGCCACTGCATCGCATCGTCTCCAACGCGCCAGGGCACTGGCCGCTCGCAAAGACGCCAGAGGAGGACCTCGACCTCCAAAGCGTAAGGTGCCATCCGCTGGAGCTCGACACGGCCACAAACATAGCATGGCTGCAGGTCGACAGGCTGCCGACGCAGGCGCTCCGCCACGCGGGGGCCACGAGGCTGCCAGGGAATGCGCCAGTGGGGGGCCTGGCTTATCAGATGCGCAGGAAATGATGATGGGAAGATTGATAACGGCAGCCACTTCTGAGCATAATGTGGGGAACGAGATGAATGGGAATTAACAACCAGCCTTTACAGTTTATGAGTCTGTTGTGGAACTGATATGGGTTGTTTTTCTCAGGCAGTGTCTTCGCTTCATGAGTCTGAGAGAGACAGTCTCGCATCCAGTCTGTCTCGGGCGCTGGAAAGTCAGCCAGCTCTACTGCACAGTTGTTTAAGGCAGAGAGGAGCTCCAGCTGTTCAGAGTAACCGTGGGCCCTTGGGCCCCGAGTCTAGGGAAGCTGGCCCGCCAGGAAAACTCTCGTCTGAGCAGCCACCGCTGGAAGCAGCTCAAAAAAAAACAGAGTGTCAGGTGACACTACGGGTAGCATCTCAAGGGAGAGTCAGACTCCCCAGAATTCAACTGACAGTTTTCGAACACTGCTTCGCAGGCTCGGTTTGAATCGTCACTGAGTTTGAGGTCAGTGAGCACTAATGTGTTGGGGGGAGGCGAGCCTTCAAGAGACTCGGCGCCCCCGCGCCAGGCGATCTCCGTTTGCCCACAGTCGGGCTAGGTACGGAGGTTGCCAGGCCTTGTGCTCCCTGAAGGAGAGGAAACCCAGGTGAGTGTTCTGTTCTGCTCTCGCCAGGCTCTGCGGTGCCAGCATTTTTTGGTTGTCAACAAATCGGTACGGATGCATTATGAATGAATGAATGAATGAATGAAAAAATCGCACTGCCTCCCGCATATAGTAGTAACCTTCACGCTTCGCGTACCCCACCAGCCTATCCAGAGACGCTGCCCATGAGCGTTGACGGGACGGGACGTGTGAGGAAGAGACACATTTGGTGAATCAAAGCGGGCACACGGTGAATTGAGGATGCGGAAATGGACGGTGAGGAGTAGGCAGAGGAGGAGGAGCAAGATGAGGAGGAGGAGGAGAAGGAGAGGAAGAAGGGCGAATACTAATGATAACAAGTAGAAGAATACTAAGAATAATAATAAGTGGAACAGGGAGATCAGGCCGAGGAGGACGACGAGGGCAAATACGAAGAGGAGGACGAAGACGAGGACGAGGAGGACGACGAGGAAGAGGACGAGGACGACAAGGATGATGACGAGGAGGTGGAGAACGAGGAGGAGGAAGAGGACGAGGAGGAAGAAAAGAGGACATATATGAGGACGGGGCGGACGAGGAGGATGAGGGCGAGGACTCTGGTAGCCATCTGGAGGTCTTCTTGAGGCCCTCTTGGGGTCCTCTTTTGGTTCTCTCGGGGCCCTCTTGGGCCTCTGTTGGAGGTATTGGTGTCCTCTTGGGGCTCTTTTGGGGGTTCTTGGAGCGCTCTTGGGGCCCTCTTGGGGCTCTCTCGGGGCCCTGGAGGGCCTCCTAGGGCCATCTTGCAGGCCATCGATAAAAAAGGTGAGGGGCCCTCGATTTACCTTCCCCCTTGGGGGCCCTCAAAACCGCCTGTTGGTGCCCTCTTCGGGCGCTCTTGGGGCCGTCTGGGGGCCTCTTGGAGCTCTCTTTGGGCCATCTTGGAAAGAGCGCGTTCTGTAGTCGCTTGGAGGGGGGGGGGGGGGGGAACCGGACCCCTCTCTCCCTCCCCCCATCCCCCCTCCCTCCTCTGCGTCCCCTCTCTTCGGGCCGGCGCTTGTGTCGGCGGCGGTTGGCGACGGCGGCGGGGACAACGATTTCCATTTCTGGGCCAGCGCCGGTGCCTGCGGCGGCGGGCGGCGGAGGCGGGGAACGTCGACGAGGACGACAGTGGTTTGTGGTGGTGGTGGTGGTGATGGTGGTGTGGTGGTTTGTGGTGGTGGTGGTGGTGGTGGATTGTGCTGCTGGTAGTGGTGGTGGTTGTGGCGGTGGTGGTGGTGTGGTAGATTGTGGTGGTGGTGGTGGTAGTGGTGGTGGGTTTGTGTGGTGGTGGTGGTGGTGGTGATGGTGAGTTGTGGTGGCGGTTGTGGTTGTGGTGGGGGCTGTGGTGGTGGTGGTTGTGTGGTGCTGTTGGTGGTGGTGGCGGTGGTGGGTTGAGGCGTTGGTGGTGGTGGTGGTAGTGGTGGTAAGTGTCGCTGCGTCCCCGCCGCCGCCAGCGCCGGCGCCGGCGCGAGGAAGGGGGGGGGGTCGAACCCCACCCCCCCCGTTCCCCTGGGCCCTGGGTTGCCTCTGGTCATCGTCGCTGCGTCCCCGCCGTGGGCGCTGCTGGCGGCCGCCAGCGCTGGCGCCGGCGCCGGCGCGGGGGGGGGTTTCAACCCCCCTTCTTCCCCTGGGAGAGGGGGGAGGGGTTCGGGAGGGGGGGGGGTTTGGGGGGGAGAGGGGTCCCCATGGTTTTGATCGACGGCGCCGAGTGTTGGGGGGGGGCCACCCCCCCGTTCGAAACGCGCCGCCGAAAGTTTCTCAGGCGTGCGCCCGTGAAACGCGTTCTCTCCCATCTTGGGACCCCAAAAGCGCATTGGACGCGAAAAGCGACAAGGCACACATCATTGTTTGTTGGCCTCTTTGGCTATGTGGGGGGGGGGGGGGCTAGCGGCTAGGGGGCTCCGAAAACACTGGGAGCGGTCTTCGGGGCTTCTCGGAGCATGTTGGGAGCCATTTTGAACGTTTTTTGGCTATCTCAGAGGCCATATTTGAGCATCGGACGTCCTCTTGGAACCATCTTGGGCGGCCTGACCGCCCGCGACCCCCAAAAAACAAACTTCAGGGAGGCAACGAGGCGGGTACCCCTCCCCAGGGAAACAGGGCTTTGGAAGAGGAGAGCAGACATCGTCAGACCACCTACGCCCAGAAGGCTGGGCGGGACTGTATTGTATTGTAGCGCGTTGCTTCCAATAGGGAGTAGGTGTTGCCTCCCGCAGGGAGTATGTTATTGTGTTCCATAATATCTAGAGGCGCAGGTCGTAGAATCCAGTGCCCCCCGAAGAGGGAATTGCATTGCCCAAGAACAAGAAGTGCTGCATTTTTATTGCATGGCCTCTCCCTGGGGACGATGGCGCTGTCTTCTCGCTCGCAGGGGGGCGTCCAGGGCCGCCTTGTGGCTGCACCGCAGTCCTGCCCAGGTGTCCGACGAGCACTGGCGGCCACGGCGCGGCGCCCGCCTCTGTACTCCCCGCTCCCTTGTCCTCCCGCCTGGGGGTCCTCGCCAGTACCAGCTCACCCTGACCGTGGCCATGTGGTCGACGAAAGCAACCAGGGTAGATGGCCAAGGGGCGGACATCACACGTGTATTGGTGACCATGGGCTCATCCGGGCACCGATCTTGGGTTGTAGGTCAGAGGGTTTTCGTGGCCCTCTTGGTTAGTTTTGGGGCACCCTTGGGCCCGAAAAAAATCGCGAGAAGACGCGCTGCGGCCCGGGAGAAATGTTGGGAACCCGATGAGATTGGGGAATTTAGGGTCCAGGCCCCCTGATTAATCAACCATGAGCACTGAGGACTACAGACAACCTGAAGACACTCCAACTCGTGCCTCGCGGCACGGTGGCTGGTGTTCGGTGGGGGCAACCAGTATGGATAGCCAAGGGGCGGGCACTTCAAGTATTGATTGTTTGGGGAATGCATGTCATGGTTCCCCTTGAGATATTCTCCCCTTGTTGCAGCCGTCGATTTGTGGCAAGCCATGGGGTCCTCGCCGCCTTGGCCGTCGTCTCCCGTCAATCCGTCCCTGGACCTCCTGAGGGTGCACTCTGTCCATGATCTGCATGTGGACGAATTCGCAGCGGCCACGGGCCCTGAGGAGGCCTTGAAAGGGCGCGTGTGCACAAGGCCAAGGAAGCCTTCCAGCGAGGTTGCCTTCCGCAGGGAGTATTGCACTACATTGTCTTGCACTTCGTTTCAGAATCCGTTCGAAACCAGCATCGGCCTGCCCTGGCCAGACGTGTTTCCGATCACCTCCCGGGACCCTTCCCCGGCACTTTTCTCGGTCAGCATCTCGCCTGTGTCTTCGAGCCGCGCCCAGTTGTGCGACAAGCAAGGGGCCCCGAAGGCCCAGAAATACAGTAGGAGGAGGAGGCTTCCGGAGGCTCCCGGATACATCAACACATGTTGTTTCTTCTCGTCCAATTCCTTCTCCCCCCCGCCCTCCCTCATTCCCCCCGCTGGAGCGGCAGGAGAAGTGGGACTTGATGAGCCGCCGATGGAAGACCCGCAAAAGCGCGCGGCTTGGCATGTTGCATGATCCCCTCGGCAGTGCCCCCTGGCCCTGCTTGCACATCGAGGAAAGAGGAGTGAGGAGGGGGATGATGAGGAGGAGGTGGTGGAGGAAGGAGGATAATTTGTCGTAATAATGCGATTTCCCCGGATTATCCGTAAGGGCTTTGCCCCATGCCGCCGGCCCCCTGTCTCGGATAATGGGAGATGCAAAAGCTAAATCATGAGGTCTGGGCGCCGCCGTGAAGCAGTGTCGGGACCTGTTTGTTTTTCGACCCTGACCCTACGGATCTGCGTCACGGGTGCCACCGAATTTCAGAAATGCTGCAAATCCTTCGTGTTTTTGGACCCTGACCCTACGGATCTGCGTGAGGGGTGCCGCCGAATTTCGAAAATGTGGCAAATCCCAACTATTTGTTGGACCCTGACCCTGCCGATCTGCGTGATGGATGCCACCGAATTTCAGAAATGTTGCAAATCCCATATGTTTTTGGACCCTGACCCTGCCGATCTGCGTGAGGGGTGCCACCGAATTTCAGACATGTGGCAAATCCTTTGTTTTTGGACCCTGACCCCGCCGATCTGCGTGATGGGTGCCACCGAATTTCAGACATGTGGCAAATCCTTTATGTTTTTGCACCCTGACCCGGCCGATCTGCGTGAGGGGTGCCACCGAATTTCATACATGTGGCAAATCCATTGTGTTCTTGCACCCTGACCGCGCCGATCTGCGTGAGGGGTGCCACTGAATTTCAGAAATGTAGCAAATCCCAAGTGTTTTTGGACCCTGACCCTGCCGATCTGCGTGAGGGGTGCCACCGAATTTGAGGACTGTGGCAAGTCCTATGTGTTTTTGGACCCTGACCCCGCTAATCTGTGTGAGGGCTGCCACCGAATTTCAGAAATGTGACAAATCCCATGTGTTTTTGCACCCTGACCCCGTCGATCTGCGTGAGGGGTGTCAATTCCACCCACCCCAGAAATTCAGAGCATACACTCAGGGCGTGGTGAAAATGCTCGTTTTGGGCCTCCCCCCCTCGCGCGGTCCATCAACAAGGAACAGCAAGCAGCAAGAAGCAGAATTGTAACAAGTAAGCAGCAAAAAGCAGAACTGTAACAGTGGAAACTGGAAGCTGCAACTGGTACAGGACACTGCGAACCTTAGGCCTACAGCCTGGTGTCCCCACAAGGGGGCCGGCGGATCTCTCCTGCCCACTCTATTATAACCCCTCTCTGCCCCGTTTACCCCCCATGCCTAGCATTGCCGGTTCTGCCCGAGTCGGCTTGAGTTGATTTGGCCACGGGAGCGATAGGCCGGGAGACATTGCGTTGATTCCTCCGAGCCTTGCCGGGCTCCGCCGCCTGCCCCGCTGTGGGGCTGGGGACGGATGCCGCTGGAGGCCACCCCTGTCTCGCAGTGGTAGCGAAGCCCGCCGCCACGCGGGCAAGCCATATAGGCCGAAGGCGAAAATATCTACGACGTGCTGGGTCCAGACGGACGCTGGACAACGGCAACCACGAGGACGTTATCACGGACGACGACGACGACGACGTCGACCTTGAGGAGGCCGCTGGAGATGGGCGGAGGAATGCTCAGCCCAGACGCGTTACCTCGACGCGACGGCGGCGGCGGTGCTGGTGCTCAAGGCGATTGGTGGCGACGTTCATCGGTCACCTCCTGGACAACAGCGCCGCAGTGGACGAGCCGTTACCTCGAGGGCATCCCTTTCTGGAGCGGCTCGGCGGGATGATGGCGGCGCTACAGAAAAGACGTAGCCTTGTGGATAGAGAGCATCACCTGGACGTGAGCTGGTCCTGGGCGGCCAGGATGGTGCGTTGCTTGACGGGGCCGGCGGAGACGCTCGCGGAGTCCATCCCGATGGTGGAACTGCGCCCGAAGCCCAGGACGTGGGTGCCGGACGCGGTGCAGCCCGAGGGCGACGTGAGGGTCGACGGACGAGGAGCGCGGACACTGGGAGGAGCCAGACCCCATGGCAGGGATCAACAGGTTGACGGAGGTGTTCGCGACGATGGGAGTTGACGAACCGACACTTTTCGGGCAGGTAATAGCATTCTTCAATAAGCAGTTGCATTGACGGGCCGGTGAGGTTTTGAACTTGTGGATGATCAGGTTCGGGGAGGCTCGAAACCAGCTGGGCGAAGAGGACGTAGCACTCCCGGCTTGTGCGGCAGGCTGGTGGCTGATCGAGAAGACGGGCCTCATGGGCGCACAGAAGAGTATGCTGATGACCTCGACCGGCGGAAAGATGGAGATGCGAGAAGAGGCGCCGGCGATGCTGCGAGTATTTTCCAAACTGCATGCGACGGAGTGGCGGCGCAACGTTTTCGATCGCAGCAGGAACCCGATCACTTTCAACCGACCTGGCAGTCAAATGTAGAAGAAGATGGTAATCCGCACGTTCAAAGAGGCATACGTGACGGAGGACCTAGACGGCTTCACCCAGCTCGACGAGGGCGAGGTCGAGGCCCTGAATGCGGAGCTCGGCAGCTGATGTGGCGACGCGACGACGAGACGACGGGGGAGGCCCCGACGGCGGATCAGGAGCTGGACATCGAGGGAATCCCTGCCGCCGAGCTGCAGGCGCTGCGCTCTCGACGGTGCTCGGGAAAGCCGAGAATGATTCCAAGCTGACGCAGGAGCTCGGCAACCTTGTGAGCGGCGTTGAGCCCACGATGGAGAGACTCATCACGGCGCGAGAAAGTAAGAAGCGAATGAGGGAAGGAGTTGCGGATGGGCCGCAAGTTTGGCGGCCAAGCTGGCGGTCGAGGCTCAGGCGCGCGCGCGCGTGGCCCGACCGGCCTCTGGGCCGGCGACGCCTGCTGCCCGGAATTGAGGAGTGGAGGGCCGAGCCGGCCAAGAAGAAGTTGCAGCAGAAGTTGCGGAGCTGCAGCCGCGAGACGCCATGGTGGTCGACTTGCTGGACGCGCAGACGGGCAACGAGGCGCCGGAGGCGAACGCCCCAGAGGTGTTCGAGGCGCTGGTGACCACGAGCGTGATCGGGCACCTCGACGTGCAGGCGCGGCGTCAGGAGCGCGGCTTGGAAGGCGACGACCGCGACGTCCGCGGCGCCATGCGCTGGCGCGACAATGTGAAGATGGCGACTTACAAGGGCGCTTAGGTGACGGCGCAGTGCGCGCTCTTCTCGTCTACCTCGACCGGCGGTCAGGGCGACGACGGCGCGCTGGACTGCGCCTGCAACGGCGCGGTCTCGGGCGACGAGTACGCCGTGAGGATCGAGAGCCAGTGCCATGAGTTTTGGGATCGAGGACCAGATCAAGAAGGAGCCCCAGCTCGCCGTTTTCCAGTTCGGGAACGGCCAGAAAGAGCAGGTCTCGACGGAGCGTTGGACTGCGCTGGCCACGGTGTTCGACGTGGACGCCTACCTGACGTTCTCAGTCATTGAGGACTCGCTGCTGCGGCTGCTGATCGGGAAGGACGCGCTCCGCGGCACGGGCGCGGACATCAACTTCGCGGAAGATACGTTCAAGTCGGGCAAGCTTGGGATCGCGCCCAAGCGCTTGAACGAGACAGATGGAGGCCACTACGCGGCCCAATTCCCCCGAGGGAGGGCTGGGGGCCCCCGGCGGGGTGCCCGTCGACTGCGGCCGACGCGGCGATCCGGGCGCGGTCGAAGGTCAAGGAGGCGCCGACGACGGTGCGCTCGGATCTCGCTGCTGACCGACGGGCCGAGGAGGGGGCCGCGCGCGGCGAACAACAAGGTGATCGGGACATGCCCGACCAGATAGACGTCTCACCTACAACTGTAGGAGCGCCAGGGCGACGACGCCCGGGCATTGAAATCCTCGAATCGCGATGGCCCGAATTGGAGGCTGGCGAAAGCCCGCGAGACGTCCTGCGCAGACACGGGGGGCGCCATCGAGGAGCTGCATTGGATCGAGGACTTGCCGGGCGAAGAGCTGTCCGAGCCGCCGCTGGACACCCCTAGGAACATCATGACGAGGCTCCACTGGGAGCCTGAGCGCCCGAAAGTGACGCCGCCCCAGGCGCCGGATTCGGAGCGTCGGCCGCCGCTTCGCGACCGCCTAGCTGATGCGGGCCCCCAGGGGCGCGCCGGGGGGCGCGGCGGAGGTGCCGGGGACTTCGCGGGCCCAGCATCTGATCTGAGAACCACTGCGCTGATTTACCGGTTGATGGAGGCGGGCGCGCAAGGGCGAGGAGAAGGGCCCCGCGGGAGGACGGCGAATCGCTCGTGTGCTTCGGGGCCCCGCTTCCACCTCGGGCGGCGCGGGGGCCGCGCAGTGCTGCGCCCGGGGCTCCAAGTTCGATGGCCTCGGGCGAATCGGCGTGGAGGCGCGCGCGGGCGTCGCCGACGATCGGGGCGGGGAATGCGCAGGAGCTCGCGGACAACGTTCGCGACCGCGAGAGTCCGACGGACGGCGACTCGGAGGCGATGGCGATGGCGGCGCTAAAGAGCGCGGCGCGCGCGCGACGAGGCGCCGTTCGTTCGAGGTCGGTCGGCAGCGAGAGGGCCAGCGTCGATCGGCGCAGGTGTTCGACCCCCTCCTTTTTACCATCGAGCGCGACCTGCTGCAAGAGGTCTGTCGGCGCTCTCGAGGTGGTTGGTCGGTGCCGCCATTTTGGGCACGGTGATTCCTGTGAAGATCGCAGAGGAGGTGAACTTCACGGACCAGGTCGACCTAACCCCGATGGTGGAAATATGAAGAACGGCGCCAAAGTGTTGGTGCAAGACCAGCTGCGCTCCTTGCAGCGTGACCTGGACACGGTCAACAGCAAGTCCAAGGCCGACTTGGCGGAGTTGGGGCCCCGCTTCGATTCGCGGCCGGCTGGGTGCCAGGCAGCGATGAGCGAGGCGACCAAGTGTCAGCCCTCGATCGCGGATGTCTTTACGACGAAGGAGGCGGCGCGTAATGGGGCGGCTCGGCAGGGGCCCCATACTATTAGGAGCTATTCACAGGAGTTCCGGGGAGGCCCGAGGTCCCCGAAGAGGCGGCGAGAGGTG